ACAAACATACACAAACAACTTTTATTATATCAAGTGAAACAGTAAAATAGATGGCAGGACATCTTTAAAAGTCTGCCAACCTAAGGACAAGGTGCTAGCTTTAAAGGATAAAGTGCCATTCCTATTGCAGTATTTGACACTCTAAAGAAACCACACAAACATCAGAAATGACATAAAGAAGCTGGCTAGGAGAAAAACAGAGTGCAGGTGCTCTTTATAACCCTTTTACAAGGGCATTTTTTTTTTTTTTTTGTCTTTTTTGAGACAAGGTCTCCCTGAAGCCCCAGCTGTCCTCGAACTCACTATGTAGACCAGGCTGGCCTTGAACTCACGGAGATCCGCCTACCTCTGCCTCCCAAGTGCTAAACTCACACTCAGCATTGTTGTTTCTATATCCATATCCTTCACAGTAGGGTTTGACTCAAATGTGACAGGCAAGTAAAATATGCCATGGTAGCCCAAGATGTAAGGATTAAAGGAAAGGAAAGCAAGGCCATTCACTGCATCCTTGCTATTACTGTGCAACTATATACCACCTTACAGACCAATTAACCTAGTTTACCCATGATGAAAATGAACCTAAGGTACCCCAGGGCACCCCAGGGCTTCCCCACTCACACCGATACCAAGTATTTCCTGTTAGTCTTATCTTTCATTTTCCACATCAATAAACTGTCACAGACAGACACATCCTCATATGCAAATCTGGAGGGTTTATTCAATCCATCCTCACACTCACCAGCTAGGCATGACCCACAGGTGTCCCATTACTCAGGTTAATTGTCAACAATCCATTTACAGAACTCCATACTTTCTCCAGGCTATAGGTTTATCAAATGCAAGTATCACCTACAGCATCCCAACTCCAGACTGCTGCCCTACGGGGCTATGCTGCTCTTTCTCCAAACCTGAAAACTTACTCTTCCAAGAAAAATATGAATCCATGGTGGATTTTGTCAAAGGCCTTTTCATCTACTGAGATGACCATGTGGTTTTTGTCTTTAAGACCATTTATAAGATTTATTACATGTATTGGCTTATATATATTGAACCATCGCTGTAACTCCGGAATAAAGCCAACTTGATCATGATGAATGATCTTTTTGACCTGTATCTGTAGGCAGTTTGCGAGTATTTTGTTGAGAATTTTTGTGTCTATGTTCACTAAAGATATGGGCCTCTAGTTTTATTTTTTTGTTGTGTCTTGACCTGGTCTTGTTATTAGAGTGGTGCTGGCTTCACAGAAGGAGTTTGGGAACCCTCCCTCTATTTCTATCTTTTCGAATAATTTAAGAAGCATTAGTTATAGATTTTCTTTGATTGTCTGGGAGAATTCTGCTATGAATCCATCTGTACCTGGGATTTTTTTAATCAGGAGGCTTTGCATTACTGTTTCAATTTCCTAATTTGTTATGGGTCTGTTTAAGCTGTTGATCTCTTCTTGGTTTCCCTTTGATGGTTTCCATGAATTTAGAAATTCATCCATTTCCTTTAGATTTTCAAATTTAACAGAGTATAGATTTTTAAAGTATTCCCTTATAATGTTCTGGATATTTTTGGTGTCTGTTGTAATATTTCCCCTTTCATCTGTTTTTGTTAATTTGAATTTGCTTCCTTTCTTTTGGTTAACTGGGCTAAGGGTATTATCAAGAAGAAAATGGGGAAAGGGGGGCACTTAAACTGGGAAGGGAGGAAGGATGTTAGACAGGGAGAGAGAAAGGAGAGAGAAATAAAGCTTAGGTGGTGTAAAAATCCAGAGGTAAATGTATTAACTCAAAACCCCCCTGAAAAATACACATACACCATCTGAACATGAGTGCATGAGTATACCTGAAGGCTCTATAACAAGGAACACAGTGTCAGACAGAAGAAACCTCCCTTCGAGTTAGTTAAGCTATTGCCACAGCCTGTGATTACCTCCCAGAACTTGAAGGGTAAGGTCCTATTGCTGAAGACAAGACATACCTCAAGCATAGGACTTGGAGTAAAGGAGCTCGAACTGACCTGGAAGCCTTCTCCCTGAAGACTAGGTCTCTCAGTTCTAGAGGATACTATGCAAGCTGCTAAGGGAGAACATCAATCAACAGTCCAACCCAGCTCTAAAGTCCAATAACCACAATGATTGACACAGGAAACTATCTCTACTGGTGCAGTAGTGGCACTGTTATCTAGGGGGTAATCAACAGCTATCTAATTGGACTTAAAGCCCTCTCAGTGGGAGGGAACTCGTGGGTGGTACTGTAAATACAGCCAAATACACAAGGCTGGAGAGGTCACAGATCCTAGAGAAAACCCAATCTCTGTCATATGTCCAGAAATATGAAATTTCTTACTGTATGCTAAATATAGATCCTTATATTTTCAGACAAGTATACTGTACACCATTCATAAAAGAAGCTTCTTTTTGCAACAGATGGAGGCTATTACAAAGTTCCACAACTGGTCACACACAGAGCATATATATCTGAGAGATGCTCAGCCCTAAATGACACATCTATAGTGGAACCTCTACACCTAAGGCTCATGGAACACAGCAGAACAGGGAGTAGAGACACTACTAACATATCCGTCAACTCTCACCAGCCAAGTTTCCTCATGCAACAGAGTGCGATGCACACAGTAGGCCACAACCGGCCAAGTTTTAGAGACTAAGAAACTGCAGAGAGTGTCCCTGGATAGGGCTCCTATACTAAACCTCACCCACCCATGGTTCAGGGACTAGTGTGGAAGAGGGGACAGAGAGATTGTAAGAGCCAGGGGTGGTGCATAAACATGGGGAAACAAAGGCTTTCAGTCCACTGAAAGTTTGCTCATGTGAACTTGTGGCAATGGTGACAGCATGCACAGTCCCCATGCTGACTCAATCAAACAAAAACCCAGCATACAACAAGGGGAATGGGCAGCAGGCCCCAACCTAGCCTAGGAACTATTAGCAACTGATTACTGCTGAGGGAGGGAGAAGAGGGGGAGGAAAAGGAGGGGGGTTCTGAATGAATGACCAAGGTATGAACAAGAGAAAAGACCAGAAGTCCTCACACAACGATTGTTCCCAGCTTCTCATTATGTGACACTCAATAGCAATTCAGTTGCTTTAATTAAAATGATGCAATCAGCACAAAAAAAGCCAAGAAAATTTTAATCAAACTCAACAACTTATGTCTAAAGAAAACTATAGGGCACATAAAGATATGTAAGGTGACGTCCCTCTCTTCCAGGAGCTTCACATTAAGTGACAAAGACTTCCACTTAATTCATAAGACCAACAAAAGAGAAATAAAGTTCTATGGATGCTCTGAAAAGGTAAAATCAATTCCAAGGAAGAGTTCAGGGAGACTTCCTGGAAGAGCTACCATCTTATGTGACCCCTAAAGAGTTAAGTAAACTCCAAAAAGTGAACAGATACTTTTAAAAACTATTTAGTAGGTAAAAAAGAATGAGCAAATGAAATAAAAGAGAAAAGTGCCTCAGGAATAGCAACCGGACTGGGCCAAAGCGTTCGACCCTGTGTGCTAAAGAAGATACCACAGGGCCAAGACAGCTCAGCACCTCAAGCCAAGCCTGACGACCAAGATGAATCCCCAGGATTAACACGGGGGAAGGAGAGAATCAACGAATTCCCACAATTCGTCACCTGACCTCCGCATGCACACATACAAATAAATTAACTGTAATTTCTTTATTAATTTATTTATTAAATAAATCTTAAAACTTTTAAAAGGAGATACTAATCTAAAGTTGGATTCAAAACAGTTTGAAAGGCCACAGTACAACACAAAAAAACAGCACCACGGGAGTCCAGGGAGTTCGCACACCACATGAAGATTAGCATACAAACGGGCTGTAGTCAAACCAACACAGTACTTACAAGGTCATTCATATTGGTTTGGCTAGCTGGATTAATTTCTTCCAAAAATTCCAAGACATAAAATGTATACCTATCCATAAGATGGACTCCGATGGCAGGATCTGGTTGATGCTATGAAAAAAGAGAAAGTTAATGTCAAAGAAGATCTTCTTAACAAATTATTTAGAACATCAAAACTACCTGGGTTTAAAAAAGTCTAAGACACCTCACCTCCCTCTGCTTCCCTGCGCCTGCACAACCCGCAGATCTCTCTCTGGGGGAAGTCAATCGGACCCTACATCCTTGACCCCCCAGCCTCATTCACCCTCCCATCTCCCCTGATCATCTCTCCTCCTAGCCTGGGTTCTCTCCCATTCCTTGTCTTGGTGCCCCAGACACCAGGGAACCACCACTGCTTCCTGATCCTTTGCATCCAGACCAACCCAGTTCCTTCTCCGGTCTCCAGGAGGACTGCTTCCGGGCCTGGCCCCTCCCTCACCTCCCCCTGCTTCCCTGGGCCACACAACCCTCCAGCCTCCTTCTTGGATACCAGGGCTGACCTTTCCTCTTCCTGATCCTTTGCATCCAGACCAACCCAGTTCCTCCCTGCAGTCCCCAGGAGCCCTGGGTGCTGCTTCCCGCCCCCATCTCCCTTTGCATATCTGGGTGGCACAGCCACCATATTCCCTAGACTAGCATCTTTCCTAGGCCCTGGGCCCAGGCCAGTCCAACCCCAAATTCCTGAAGCCAAAATCTTTCCTGGAGGGATCCAGACCTTGGGGAGAAAGCCTGAGAGCATCTGATCCTCATCTTCATCTGACTTGGGCCTCTGTGGGAACTCCTGAAGATAAAAGCAATCTGGCCACTCCAATATAAAATCAAAAGAGAGAATCTGAAGCTTAGAGGAACCAGGTTTCAAGCCCCAAAAGTAAACCCAAAGACACTTAAAGTTTACAAAAAGAAGCAGACCTAAACTTGAAGGCCTGAGTTTCACACAAGAATCACAAAGAAAAAATAATAACATGAAAAACCAAAATAACATATCCACACCAACTACCAATACAATGAAAACCCCCTAGAGACAATGCAGGACATGGAACGCAAAAGAACAATTATAAACACGATAAAAGAATTCAGCGAATTTAAAGGACACACAAAGAAATCAAAGAACTTAAGGAAGATAGGGATAAATTTCTGAATGAATTCAGAAAAGAGTTAGAAACATTGAAGAATACTCTGGCTGAAATGAAGAAGGAAGTGAAACACTCAGTAAGCCAATTAGAAACAAC